CGCGCCGGCGCGGGCGGGGCTGCCGCCGGCTTGGGGGCCGGCGCGGGCGCGGGCTTCGGCGGGGGCGCCGGCGCGGGGGGCGGCGCCGGCGCGGCGGCCACCTGCGGTGAACGTCGACGTCCACGTCTGCGTCAGCCGTCGTCGTAGTCGTCGTCGTCGCCGTCGTCGTCGCCGTCGTCGTCGTCGTCGTTCGTCGTGCATCGTCGTCGTCGTCGTCGTCGTTCGTCGTTCGTCGTCGCGTCGTCGTGTCGTCGTCGTCGTTCATCGTCGTCGTCGTCGTCGTCGTCGCGTCGTCCGCCGTCTGTCACCGTCGTCCGTCGCCGTCGCCGTCGTGTCGCCGTCGTCGTCGCGACGTCGTCGTCGTCGTCGCCGTCGCCGTCGTCGTCGCGGCGTCGCCGTCGTCGTCGTCCGTCGTTCGTCGTGCATCGTACGTCGTCGTCGTGTCTTTCGTCGTTCGTCGTCGTCGTCGTAGTCGTCGTCGTCGGTCGTTCATCGTCGTCGGGTCGTCGTCGTCGCCGTCGCCGTCGTCGTCCGTCGTCGTCGCCGGCGCTCGTCGTCGCCGTCGTCGTCGCCGACGTCGTCGTCGTCATCGCCGTCGCCGTCGTCGTCGTCGTCGTCGCCCGTCGTCGTCGCGTCGTCGTTCGTCGTTCGTCGTCGTCGTCGTCGTTCGTCGCCGTCGTCGTCGTCGTCGTCGTCGTCGTCGTCATCGTCGCCGCCGCCGTCGTCGTCCGTCGTCGTCGTTCGTCGTTCGTCGTCGTCGTCGTCGTTCGTCGCCGTCGTCGTCGTCGTCGTCGTCGTCGTCGTCATCGTCGCCGCCGCCGTCGTCGTCCGTCGTCGTCGGCGCCCCCGCGAGAGGACGGCCGGCGACGAGGGCGGCCGCGGCAGCGGCTGCCGGGCGACCACGGCCACGGCTGCGGCGGCGGCGCGTTGCCGATGACGACGGCGCCGGCGGCCGAGGACCACGACGGCGGCCCGGATCTCCGACGATGCCGAAAGCGATGCCGAAAGTCCCTCCTCTTCCCCCTCCTCCCTCCTCCTCCTCCTCCTCCTCCTCCTACCTCCTCCCTCCTCCTCCTCCTCCTCCTCCTCCTCCTCCTCCTCCTCCTCCTCCTCCTCCTCCTCCTCCTCCTCTCCGTCGCCCTCCCAGCTTTCCCCGCCGCCCTCCCCCCCCCCGGGCGCCCTCCTCGCCTCGGCCCGGCCGCGCGCGAGGCGCGAGCTGCGCCTCCTCCTCTGCTCCCAGGAGCGCGGCGGCGACGTCCAGCGCATTGAAAAAAACAGGACGGAGGCTTTTCGCGAATCTCGGGCCGCCCTACAGGGCGAGCGCGGTCGCAGAGAACCATCGCAAGAAACCCAACCCTGAGAACCCGTGCGCGAGGTTGAGCACCCTTGACAACCCTGACAACCCTAAGAACCCTGACACACCCTTGAAACCCTCGGAAGAAACCCAACCCTGACAACCCTAAGAACCCACCTGAGAGGAAACCTGGAGCACCCTTGACGCAGCCACTCCTTGCCTGGCTGCGAGAAACCACCGCGCGGCGCGCGGAGCGAAGACACCCAGGATACCCTGACGAAAAGCTGATGGTTCCTTGATGCGCGCCCCCACTGTAGGGGCCATCGCCGGGCCTCGGGACCGTCAAAAACGACTCAGGATGAAAAACCAGTCCTGGGAAATGGGTCAAGACTTCTGGGGACCGCGCATGGACGGAATCACGGCATCGGATCTCTGGGACGTGCTGCCTCAATCTGGGTGTGTTCACCGATTTCAGCCTGTGTGGGCAACTGGGCTCTGGGGAAACCCCAAAAATGGATCTGGCACGGGAAGCTTGCCCCCCCCGGGGGGAGGGGGAGGGACCTCTGGGGCCGCGCCCGGCGAAACCAGAGGCCGTCGGACGTCTGGGGCGACACGCTGGCGCTGTAAACCGACATGGTCACCAGTCCTTAGGGCACGTCCCATGAAACTGGTGCAGCCACCATCTCTCCATCAGAGCTGGTTGTTCCAGGGCAAGCTGGAGCGTGATACGCATGCAATTGGGAACAAAGACTGCCACTGCCGACGACACGCCAACGCTCGGCGAACAGACTGCGGGCGCCGACAACCCGCGATGAGCAAGGTGTCAGAGTGTCTATTCAAGAGAGGGGAGGGCCCCTTCATCTGCCTTATGCTCCTGAACAAGAAGCACCGCAGCCTTGCAACCCTCCGAGAATCTCAGCAACGGGGCGGTGTTGCCCACGTCGATGATGATCACCTCTCCCTTGTCGTACGAGCAGTGGCCGTCGACCCATCCTCTGGCAGCACACGTGCGCCCTGCAGCCCTGCAGCCGCACGGCCATCATGCTGCGGCCACCACCACGCATATGCCTACACCGCATCGGACACCAAATGGGGAGGGGGAAACCGTAGTCCGCGAACCTGCCGTCGTAGCGGTATGCAGTCTGAGTGCCAGCTGCTGGGACAGCAGGGGTGTACCTGTCCCCGTGATGTACCACATGTGGCGACCTCTGCGAACGCTCCAGCGACCCCGCCCGACTGGATCCCAAAGGAGGAGGCGGCGGCGTCATCCTCATCATCGGCGCCCTCGTCGCAGCCGTCTTCGTCGACGTCGTCGGCAACCGACTATTTCCTCTTGTTCGCCGGGCTGCATATTGTTGGGTGAGTGCTTCTCCCAGCAGAAAACATCTCCTGCGCTACTCTGCGGAAACAAATCGAATACATCTCCAATCACGTTGGCGCGTCGACTTCGTCGTCCTCGTCGTCGGCGTCCTCATCGCAATCGCCTTCGTCCGACGAAGGCGGAGACCTGAGCGGTGGCTGCCGCGGGGGAACAATAAATGATGCTCCGAGTATTGTTTGGGTCCCGCTCCTAAGACAGCTTGGGCTTGCATGGGCGTCGGTTCTGGCTGCAAAGAATAAGATCCTGGATTTGATCTCTCGCCGCGGGTAAACATCGGTTTGTCACATGTGCGTATGGCCCGATGTTCCACTTCATGCGTCTACGCACCTGGGATCCAAACTACTCGCCTGGCGATCGTTTCTGGACTGGCTGATGGGTCACTCTTTCTGGGCCACCCCAGGGCTCCCTCGTCGTAACGGCCGGACCCGCCCAGCAATTGAAGGCCAGCGCGCGCTTCGGGGCATCTCACCAGGGGTGTCACAGATCGTGGCGGCTTGCCTTCCCGAACTCTGGGGGGCCTCTCGTGTGCGGGTCTCAGGCCGACGGACAACCATGAAGGGGCCTTGGGACACACAAATAAATACACACAAATAGCCAGATGTCCTATATTTTCCTATAGTTTCTGGGTTATTGTCTTCCCCCCCACTTCCTATAGTTTCCCATATTTTCCTGGGAGTCGACGCACAAGCAAATACACACAAATAACAGGATTTCCCATATTTTCCTATATTTTCTGGGTCACTGTCTTCCCCCCCACTTCCCATAGTTTCCCATCTTTTCCTGGGAGTCGACGATTAATTGTGTCTGTGTTTTTTTTCCCTCCTGAAACTATGCGGGACGAGCGAAAATCGGGGGCGTCCAGGCGGGGGGGGTCCAGAAGGGGGGGGGCACAAACCGTGGTCGTCGGCACGTGCGCAGCCGAGCGGCGGGATGGGGACGTACTGAAATCACAACGAGGCGCCAGGAAACGTGGGGAGATACCGTCGGTGATGGACAGAAACCTTTAGTAAGACGTGGTTTCGCGAAAACGACCTCGGGTCCAAACCTGGCGGGCGCAAACCTGGGAAATGACGGCCGCGGCGCCTCTCGAGAACCGAGAACGGACAATTCACTAATCGACGTGTCAGGGATGGGGTTCTGTCCACCCCCGATACTATGGCCCCCGCCATATTATCCACCCCCCCTAGCCGTCACCCCCCGCTTGGCCGCCCACTAGAAACTCGTGCGACAGAAGAGAGCGAGGGGACCCCGGGATCACGAACAAACCAGTGCACCAGGTGTTGGAGGCTCGAAAGAGCCCTGGACCTCTCGACACCATCCAGGGGTCCCGCTTTCCACCCGGTGGGCCCGAGACGGACTTGGGCAGACAACTGGGAATAGAAACTGCCAGCATGCCCTCTGCGTGGCGCGATAGAGACGGGCTGCCCCCTCTCAACATCCAGCCCCGTGCATGCCCCGAGGTGCACTCAGACCATCACTTCCAATCGGACCCAGCTGTGACGACGGCGGCAAGACATGACCCGCCATCTCACAACCATCGATCCACCTCCTCCTCCTCCTCCTCCGAGGCCAAAAAAAATTGGCACGCCCGACACGTGTACAAGAAAAGCGGGTACAATGTCCAACGACTCACCGACGTCCAGATCCGACACCGGCCGTGGTTGGTTGGACAGGCGACCCTTTGAAACCTCGATGCGCACCAGCCGCGGCGACGCCGACAGCGATTCCTGCTCCCCATGAACCGACATTGCTGGCGGTTCTCGCCTCCGCCCTCCCCTCGGCCGCACGCAAGAATGAACCTTTGGGTTAAGTCGGGCACGTCCCCCTACAGGCGGATTTGGGACGAAAAATTCGAAGCAGCCAAAAAATCTAGACTCAAAAAATACCCCCCCAAAAAAAACAAGGTCCAAACCTCGTTCCCGGACTATTTTGTGACTACTTTTGCCCATGTCCCCTGTAGAGGCATAGGCCCGACGGTCTTCGGGAGAGCTCGCGCGTGCGGGCGTCGGCTGGGCGTGCAGGCCGCTGCTGACGCGTCGTCGGGGGCCCCTTGTGAGAGCGCAGAACATCCACCCCGACAATTACCACCCCGACGCGCGAAAGCCTTCCTGGCGAATGGCCACTCTTACGTTTAAGTCGGGCCTGTCCCCCTACAGGGGGATGTTCGACGGAACAAAAAAAAAAATACCCCCAAAATAATCCAAAAATCGGCCCAAAATAATCTGGGGACTATTTTTGGAAGATGTTGTGACCTTTTGGGGGCATGTTTGGGGTATTTCTGATTTTTTCGTCGAAAATACCCCTGTAGGGGGACACGCCCGACATAATCTTACGTGCGATTGCTTTCCGCTTCGTGCTGAGAGCAGCAGCAGCAGCAGCAGTGAGAGCAGCAGCAGCAGCAGCAGCAGCAGCAGCAGCAGCAGCAGCAGCAGAGACGCCCGCCGGCGCTGGCGCTGGCGCTGGCGCTGGCGCGGGCGCGGGCGCGGGCGCGGGCGGTGGCGCCGGCGCCCGCGCCGGCGCGGGCGCCGAAGCGGCGGTGCTGTTCGCGGAGCTGACGCCGTAAGTGCCGCTGGAGCCCGGCTCGCCGAGCTTCGCCCGGACCGGGGCGGCCACCTTGGCGACCACCTTGGTCTTCACCTGGAGAATTGCCGATTTGAAACATGCCCCTATCCCTATTGTTTGGCATCACCTCACCTCAGTTTCTGAGGGTCTATCCCTAAGATTGTCCTCGCGTGTTGCTCGCCCATCTCAGGGATAGGGATAGGTTCAAGGCTGGTTAGAGCAGGCGAGGAGCGGCGGACGAAGGAGGGATGAGAGGAACTGGGGGAGACAGGGGGGACAGCCATCAGGGCAGGAGCAAGGGTGGCCACGCGCAGGAGGAGGCCAGGGACGGAGACGAGGGCGAGGGGAGAGGAGGGAAAAGGTGGGGACGGGAGGACGGTCAAAGGCGGAGAGGGCTGGCGGGAGAACGTGGAGAGTAGGGGAGCAGCAATGGCAGGAGGCAGGAGAGGAGAGGAGAGCCAAGGAGGAGGAGGAGGAGAGCCAAGGAGGAGGAGGAGGAAAAGGAGGAAGAGGAGGGAGGGGAGGAGAGCCAAGGAGGAGGAGGAGGAGGAGGGGAGGAGGAGGAGGGAGAGGAGGAGGAGGAGGAGGACAGCCAAGGAGGAGGAGGAGGAGGAAAAAGGAGGAAGAGGATGGAGGGGAGGAGAGCCAAGGGGGAGGAGGAGGAGGAGGAGGAGGAGGAGGAGGAGGAGGAGGAGGAGGAGGAGGAGGAGAAGAAGGAGGGTGAGGAGGAGGAGGAGGAGGAGGAGAAGGAGAAGGAGGAGGGTGACGGGGATGGAGGAACGGAGGGGGACGGCGAGGGAGGAGGGCATGGCGACGAGGAGGCGCGAGCGGAGGCACGAGCAGCGGCGGGCAGAGGCCAGGAGCGGGAGGAGATGCAGGAATCAGGGGGACGTAAGACCTGGGTACAGGGGACTAGGGAAATCCCCGACGGGGTCGTCAAAAAAATGACGAGGCCGAGCCTGCATTTTGACGAGGCCTCCCGCTGCAAACATCCCACGAAACTCCTCCTCGTCAAAATCCGAGGCGCGGTCGTCAAAAAACGATGGCGAACCCGAGTCCTGGCAAACCCGGGTCTTACGCTCCCCCGAAGGAACGGATGTCAGGCCCGCTCGCTCGCCGACTGCAGAAGGCTCCAGGGGTCAAGAGTCCCAAAGTAGAGGAGAACAACAAGTGGCATAAACAGAAAATAACTCGGAGGTCCGCGCGGATCCCTCGGATCGGCGCTGGGGCCCCCCGGCGGCGCCTCCGGCGCCGCCCCTGGCGCGCTCCGCGCGCCTGGGAGGGGGGTCCAGCGCCGATCCGAGAAATCTGCGCGGACCTCCGAGTCTTTACGTTCATGCCACTTGTTTCGGGGATGGACAGACCTCCCTTTAGTAAAACGTGGTTTAGTGAAAACGACCTGCGGCCCAAACCTGGCGTGCGCAGGCCTGGAAAATAACGGCCGCGGCGCCCTCTCGAGAGCCGAAAACGGGCAATTCACTAATCGACGTGTCAGGGTGGGAGTTCTGTCCACCCCCGATTGTTGTTCCCCTATGACTGCAGAAGGCTCCCAGGGGTCAAGAGTCCCAAGGTATGCCTGACCGCAGGTTTCGCTCGGGAAGCACTGTGCTCCCGTCGGCGGCGAACTCATCGAGGAGGACGAGGAGGGCGACGAGGCGGAGGGAGAGTTAGGAAGAAAAAAACACATGAACATGATTAAAGGGAAATTAGGACACACAAATAAATACACACAAATAAAAATAGTCCCCAAATATTTTCCCATATTTTCTGGGTTTTTGTCTTCCCGCCCAATTCCCATATTTTCCCATATTTTCATGGGAATCGCCGATTAATTGTGTCTGTGTGTTTCTTTCCCTCCTGAATGATCTTTTGTCGCTCCGCCCGGATTCATCGGATTCGCGCTGGACCCCCCTCCCTGGCGCGCGGGGCTCGCCAGGGGCGGCGCCCGAGGCGCCGCCGGGGGGCCCAGGCGCGGATCGATCGACCAGCACTGGCATGTCCTCCCCGGAGGCGCGCGTCCGGCCCGAGCGGTGTAGCAGACCCCTCCTGCGGCGCACCGTTTCCCGGGCGGCGCGCGGCCAGGAGGCGCCCGCCGCGGCGCACATGCTATCAGAGTTCTCGGTGCGCATGGCGCCCCTGGGGGGAGGGGCGACGCACACATGGTATTAGCATGGTGGGGTGACGCCGACCCACCCCTAGTCGAGGCACCTCTTCGGCGAGTCTGCCTCGTAACCGAAGTGGTCGGGGGGTATGGGAGCCACTCGGCGTTCCGACCTGTTGGACTTCGCGTGAGTTTCACGGGGAAGAAGAATCTTAGAAACTGGGTGCAAGTGCAACACGGGCACGTCGTACCTCTATGGAGCACAGAACTTTACGTATGGTCACTTTGACTGGAGTGGCAATGGCTTTATTCTGAATACCAGTGGTGACACTTGCTGCCGCTACGCCGCGGGACCTAACTTTGGGCACCAGCCCAACCTGTGGCCCTCTAGCAATTACTTGGTTCGGGTACCGCCCTGCCCAAGTGCGATGCGGGAAAACCCATGGAACCACTTGATCCGGGATGACTCTTGCTTCAATCCCTGAAAATGTCCAGGAGAACCCTAGAACCCCTTGGTCCGGAGAAACTGTGGCTGAAATGATTATTTGACGATCTCTACATGGGGCATACGGCAGGTTCGTGTCGTGCCGACCCCAGCGTAGGTTTTTGACACCACAGGGATCGTTCAACCTTGAACGATCGGCCGCTGCCGCAACGTCCGATCGTTCAACATCGATCGATTCTGGGTCGCTGGCGGCGTTCAACCTTGAACGCCCGCGCTGGGGTCGCCGCTGGTCGACAGGACGCAAACCTACCGTACTGTGATCCAGGAAGACTCGGGCTTCGGGGAAAATGGACTCTGGCGCGCGAACGGGAGACTAAGATCCAGAGCTATAGTTGACCACCCTCTTCCCCTGAGGACGCGTGTCAGGAATTCTGGAGCATCGAACGGCCGTCGGTCTGGAGCCCGTGCGGAACAGCTGGCACTCCTGGAACGCACAAACCATCTCGGACATGTGAAACCTGGTCCTGACTCTGGCCTCTTGCCCGGAGGCCTTCGCCCCTGTGCTGGCTGTGGCACGGCCACCGACGGTCCGGTCTTGTCTTAAGTCGGGCGTGTCCCCCTACAGGGGGATTGTCGACGAAAAATGAACAAAATACCCCAACAATACTCAACAGATGCCCAAACACATGTTTAAAAAAATTGTCCCCTGAGTATGTTTTGACTATTTTTGAATATTCCCCCTGTAGAGGGACAGGCCCGACTCAAGCCTTGTCCTCGCCTGCATTCGCATGATCGTGTCAAGCATCGCTCCACGCCTCGCGCTCGGCGGCCGCAGCCGTCCAGGAGGCGCCACGCGCCACCTTTGCACAAGCACCGAAGCCTGCGGCGCAGGGATCTCCAGTCGGCGACTCCGAAGGGTGTGGTTTCAGGGGAACAGAAAGTGGCATAAACATAAAAACTCGGAGGTCCGCGCGGATCCCTCGGATCGGCGCTGGGGCCCCCCGGCGGCGCCTCCGGCGCCGCCCCTGGCGCGCTCCGCGCGCCTGGGAGGGGGGTCCAGCGCCGATCCGAGAGATCCGCGCGGACCTCCGAGTTTGTATGTTTCTGTCACTTTTTGTCCCCTCAGGTTTGCAGAGGGTGTTGTTTGCAAGCGGCACCCTGGGGGGCATCCTGGGAGGCGGGAGGGGACCTCGACGGAGCTCTCCGCCGCGCCCCGAGGAGGCCCAAGGAGGACAGCGTCGTGCCCCCCAGGCCCCAGTGGCACCGATCGCAGACCACACCCCGGCGTGACCACACCTTTTCTGTCACCGACTCACTCATTGCACATCGCGGCGCTGCCACCCCGCCCATGAGGGGCAACGATAGGGGGGGACTGGCATAGGGGGGAACCATCGACGTGGAATCGGCGATGCATCGCCGATACATCGGGGATAGGCCCCAGATAGTGAATCCGCACGTTCCTGGGCAGGCTGGGGCCATCGGGCCCCAAATCGCCGATCAATGGGCGATTGGGGCCGATGCATCCCCTCCTGTGCATGTCCCCCCTTATGGTTGCCCGTGCACGAGCCCACCGCCGCGCGGCCTGGCCGGTGCCGGTCTCCGTCGGGAAGGAGTCGGGCACCTCGCGGCGTTGGAACCCGGGGGTCCCCCACCCCCCCTCTCCGAAAATCCCCCCCCCTGCTCGAACCCCCCCCCCCCCTTCTCCCGGCAACCCACCCCCGCCCTCCATCCCCTCCCTTCCCCCCCCCCATCCAGAAAACCAGGGGGGAGTCACTACCAGTTCGAACCCCCCCCCCTCCCTCCAGAACACCAGGGGGTGTCACTACCGGTTCGAACCCCCCCCCACTCACCCGAGTCCCCACCACCGTCCTCACCACCGCCCTCACCACCGCCCCAGCACCACCGTCCCCACCACCAGTCCCCACTGTTCCCACCACTGTCCCCACTGTCCCCACCAGTGCCCCCACCACTGTCGCACTGTCCCCACTGTCCCCGAAACTGTTCCCACCGCGGTCCCACTCTCCCCACTGCCCCCCTTGACCCCACTGTCCCACTGTCCCAACCAGTGTCCCACTGTCCCCACTGTCCCCTCCGCTGTCCCACTGAGCTGTCCCACTGTTCCCACCAGTGTCCCCAGTCGCCACCACTGTCCCCACTGTACCGCTGTTCCATTGTCCCACCACACCACTGTCCCCACCACCACCACCGTCTCCACCACTGTCCCACTGTCCCCACCACCACTGTTCCCACCGTTGGCCCAACTGCCCCCAACAATGCCCCCACCAGTGTCCCACTGTCCCCACTGTCCCCACCACTGTCCCACCAAGGTCCCGCTCTCCACTGTCCCCACTGTCCACACCACTGTCCCGCTGTCCCCACTGCTCACACCACTGTCCCACTGTTGCCACTGTCCCCACCGCTGTCCCACTGTGCTGTCCCAATTGTCCCCACTGTCCCGACCACTGTCCCACTGTCCCCACTGTTCCCACCCTTCCCCCATTGTACCACTGTCCTATTGTCCTACCACCGCCCTCACCACCGCCCTCACCACTGTCCCCACCACCACCGTCCCCACCACTGTCCCACTGTCCCCACTGTCCCCACCACTGTCCCGCTGTCCCGTCACCAGTCCCCACCACCATCGTCCCCACTACTGTCCCACTGTCCCCACCAGTCCCACCGTCCCCACACCGCTGTTCCCACCACCACCGTCCCCACCACTGTCCCAGTGCCCCCACCACTGTCCCACCGAATCGTTTGCCGGCGGCGACGGGGGGGGGGGTCGAAGTTCGAACCGGGGGAGGGGAACGGGGGGTTCGGACCGGTAGCGACCACCCCCCTCCGGTTTTCGAGGGGGGCGGGACCGGTTCGGAAGCCAGTGATCCCCCCCCCGGGTTTTCCGCCAGCAGCTGACGCCCCTGGTGTTCCGCCAGCAGCTGTAGAGCACGCTCTTATTCAAAACATGAGGCCCTCCGTCCGCCGAACATCCAAGGGTACCCTCCCCAGGGTGCAACAAAACATCCAACACACACACACACACACACACACACACACACACACACACACACACGAAAAACAGCAGGTACGCACCCTCCCCGAACCGAGCTCGATCTGATGCCTCGGTCCGGCTGTACCATCAGGAGAAAAGACGGCACAAGCGCGTGCTTCTTGGATGTGCTCTGGACCCGGCGGCGCCCGAGGCGCTGCCAGGGGGGCCGCACGAAGGCCCAAGAAATCCGAGCGGAACTAGGACAAAATATGTTTTGTTTATGTTGTTCTTCCTTATTCGAATCATAGGGGGTGCTAGATCAGGAACGAAGAAGCTTGTTGGGCCCCGATGGCGCCTGGGTGCGCAAGACGCGCCAGATGAAGGGTTCGAAGGAGCAAAGAGTCCCTTCGGCGACCAAGCTTCTCCTCAGTTCGGCCCGCTGGCTGTGTCTGCGCGCCTCTGGGGGTGCCTGCGCCTATGAAGCAGACGCCTCCCCCCCCGGCGAGATCGTTAGCGGACACGCCCTCCTGGTCCCCCCCCGCCCGCCCACGGGATCTTGGTTCGCAGGCCTCCGCGGGGACGTCGCGTCCGCCCCCGGCCCCTGAAAAGCGCCGCGAGCTCCTCCGACGAGGGGGGAGGCGGGGCTTGACTGATGGCTTCCCAGGGTTCGGTCGGGCATGTCCTCCTACAGTGAAGGGGCCCCAGGACACACAAATAAATACACACAAATAAAAAAGATTCCCCATATTTTCCCATATTTTCTGGGTTTCTGTCTTCCCCCCCACTTCCCATATTTTCCCATATTTTCTGGGAATCGAGGATTAATTGTGTCTGTGTGTTTCTTTTCCTCCTGATACAGGCCGATGTGGGAGGCGCGAACACAGAAATAGTCGAACTATGCCGAGTAAAAATCCGCCGGCCCCCTTAGTGGGGCCACCAGGCTGTGGGCCGAAGGTTCGCAGTTTCCTGTGCCAGTTGCAGCTTCAAATTTCCACTGTTGCAGTTCTGCTTCTTGCTGCTTACTGTTCCTGGCTGATGGACCGCGCGAGGGGGGGAAGGCCCAAACGGGCAGGTTTAGCACGCCCTGAGCGTGTTGTCTCAATTGCTGGGGTGGGTAAAAATTTACACCCCTCACGCAGATCGGCGGGGTCAGGGTCCAAAAACACATGGGATTTGCCACATTTCTAAAATTCGGTGGCACCCCTCACGCAGATCGGCGGGGTCAGGGTCCAAAAACACATTGGATTTGCCACATTTTACTATTCTGACATTCGGTGGCATCCCTCACGCAGATCGGCGGGGTCAGGGTGCAAAAAACACATGGGATTTGCAACATTTCTGACATTGGGCGGCACCCCTCACGCAAATCGGCGGGGTCAGGGTGCAAAAACACATGGGATTTGCCACATTTCTGACATTCGGCGGCACCCCTCACTCGGATCCTTAGGGTCAGGGTCCAAAAACATATGGGATTTGCCACATTTCTTAAATTCAAGGGCACCCCTCACGCAGATCGGCGGGGTCAGGGTCCGAAAACCCATTGGATTTTCAAAATTTCTGAAATTCGGTGGCACACCTCAGCTGGATCGACAGGGTCAGGGTCCAAAACCATAAGGGATTTGCCACATTTCTGACATTCGGCGGCACCCCTCACTCAGATCCGTAGGGTCAGGGTCCAAAAACAGATGGGACTTGCCACATTTCTGAAATTCGGTGGCACCCCTCACGCAGATCCGTAGGGTCAGGGTCGAAAGACAAACAGGTCCCGACACTCCTTCACGGCGGCGCCCAGACCTCATGATCTAGCTCTTGCATCTCCCATGATCCGAGGCAGAGGGCCGGCGGCATGGGGCGAAGCCCCTACGGATCAAACTAATGGCAAAATCGCCTCCAAGCTATTTTTGACTATTTTCGACTACTCCAGATTTCGTAATAAAGGGAGGGGGGTCTCATTTCGGGGGGGGTCTCTTCCAGGCTATCTTGGAGGGCCTGGGGGGTCTGGGGACGATGTTTTGGAGGGTTCTCCCACGGGGGAGGGTCTGAAATGGCTTGTCTTGGAGGGTCCAGACCCCCTCCCTTTTATGACGAAAGCTGATTTTTTTTTTTCCTGAAGGGGGACGCGCCCGACGTAAGGTTCGGTCCCCGCACCCGCCGCCGACGCGTCGAGCACGGATCTCCCCGAGGCTCGACGACGGCGTCGACGCCGACGACGACCGCGGCGGCGCTGCTGACCACGCGCGGCCCGCGCGGGGAAGGGGGGGCGAGGAAGGCAAGCACGCGCAGGAGAGGAGGAGGAGGGGAAGGGGGAGGAGGAGGAGGAGGAGGAGGAGGAGGAGGAGGAGGAGGAGGAGGAGGACGACGGCGAGAAGCACGAGGAGGACGTGAATCAGGAGGAAAATGATGAGGAGGAGGAGGAGGAGGACGAGGAGGAGGAGGAGGAGGAAGAGGAGGAGGAGGAGGAGGAGGAGGAAGAAGCGCGCCGGCTCGCGCGGCGCCTCGAATCGCGACGCTCAGAGAGAGGCGCAGGGGTGGTGGCCCGACGGGCCCCTTGGCCTGCGGGGCGCCTCAGCGCGCGGGGCGAGCACGCGCGCGCGGGGCCCTGCACACCACCTGAGGCGCCAGGGCCCTGACCGTGTCGTCGCACACGAGCGTCCCCGCGCGGCAGGTGGTCGCCCTGGGACCCGCTCGCCGTGCTCTGGACGACGCGGACGGCCTCCTCGAGGAAAATCCCAGGTGCCTCCGAGAACGCCTCGAGGTGGACCATGAAGCGGGTCTCCATCGAGTCAGCCCTCACCCCGAGCCAGCGCCGGCAGCAGGCGCCCCCTCACCGCCTCCGCCACAACGGCCAGCACCAGCCTCCAGTAGGCCGACGAGAAGGAGGAGGAGGAGGAGGAGGAGAAGGAGGAGGGGGAGGAGGAGGAGGAGGAGGAGGCAAGAAGGCATGAGGAGCGAGGAGGGTCAGAACGTGAAGAAGAGGAGAAGGAGCAGCAGGAGCAGGAGCGGAGAAGGAGGAGAAAGAGGAGGAGGAGGAACCACGCAGTTGACCGTTGGTCAGTCTAAAAAGAGAGGTAGCCTGCCCTTGGATTAAGGGAGGCAAACAGGTAGGGAAGCTAGACTTCCCCTCTTGTGAATTTAGCAAGATAGGCCGACCCAGACGACGTGGCCTTCTTGCATTCTTTGAAGAGATTCTGACCCGCTCTTATGGCGTGGGAGCCGCAGGTCAGGCATATGTAGGTACCCTTGGCTGACATGACCATATCATGAGACGGGTCAACATACCTGGCACCAATGTATACATTGTGGAGAGACTTCGCTCCCTCAAATCCCGAACGGGGTTTCGCAGAAACACACGGGGAGGCAAGAAACTCCTGGGACGGAATATTTCCGTGCGAGTTAACAGAAATGACCGAACAACACGAATTGCAAAAAAAAACTCGAGTCGGGACCCTCTCCTACAGGAATCATATTATGCGCCGACTCCCTAAGCTGTCTGGCTAACTTGGGGCGAGGGTTGAAGGCTCGAGGAGGAGGAGGAGGGACGGCTGGCTTCGGCTTGGCTTTGGCCTTCTTACGAGCTCTAGGGGCCTGGGGATTGTCTCCAGAGGCCTCCGAAAATCTCGAGAGGAAAACTT